ACTAAAAATTTCAATTATTTATCATTATTCCTCTCAGGAAAAAAAACATTCGAGAATCAATAAAGATTTCTAAGTTCTTCCGTTTTTAATCCTACCTCTTGTATTGTGCAGGAAAATATTGGATGGTGTTTACTGCTTAACCTCATAGATCCAAGCTTACTAGGGATATCTGGTGCCTCCGGAAAGCGATACGTGTAGACGCGGGTTCCAAGTCGGTCCGAGAACGCCTATAAACCTATATTCAATCCATGTTATCTGAATTTCTAATTTCTAAGCCACGTATATCCTACGAATGAGTTAAACATATTATTTTATCATCAGTAGCAGAAAAATGGATCAGAGGCAAGTTCTAGCAACTTATGAACTCTTCTTCATAAATGAAATTACAAATATTTATCATACTGCATGTGACACATATTTATACTATAAATATAAAGATAAGCAATTCGTAGAGGTACAAGTGTAAGACTAAATCATTTTGTCAAAAAAAGGAAAAGATGAGATGATAGGATAGAAAGAAAAGAAGAGAATAAGAGATCATATAGATTATACATCAATTTTATATCATCTATACCATTCTATATTTATGTCCCATCAATACCATCCCTTACTACAGTCACATCATAACATAAGCCTGTTACAGGTACATCGAGATTACATATGACATAGTTATGTTTGTAAAAGTTTTTTTTTTCATTTTCAGTCTTTGTTTTTATTCGTCGCCGTTAATGAATAACGAAACACCAACAGTGAAAGATTTCACTACCTACAACGTTCTACATAAACATACTACTGTACTGTTTGGTGCAGCAAAAATGAAATATAGAACATTTCGACCAAGCAAAATCTCTCAGGCTAGAAAAACTTTCATTGCAAAATGATAATGGAAAAATGTTTAATTTGAGATATAAGATATGGGCCCTTCCGGATATTTATCTGAAGCTTCTTTGTTACACAGGATTTTATTTATTTTAATGTATTATGTATTAACCTTCTCGTCGTGATCTCTTATCAAATCAGAGTAGCTTTTAACAAATCAATATGTGTATCAACCTGATACATATAGCTACATAACAGTGTAATATACAAAGTCTCACAGAAAGCGCCTTTGTTCCTCTTAATGTAAAAACAACGCTTAATATAAAAACAACGCTTAATGTAAAATCAACGCTTAATGTAAAAACAACGCTTAATGTAAAAACAACGTTTAATATAAAAACAACGCTTAATGTAAAAACAACGCTTAATATAAAAACAACGCTTAATGTAAAAACAACGCTTAATATAAAAACAACGCTTAATGTAAAAACAACGCTTAATATAAAAACAACGCTAATGTAAAAACAACGCTTAATGTAAAAACAATGTAATAACTGTTAAATTCAGCGTTGAGGCTGATGCGCTACATGTTATAATTTGCTTTATTACAATAACCACAGAAGTCGCAACATATATAAATGTGTAGTGATATTCAAGCTTACTGATAATTTCAATATGTGCAGGCAAATTAAATGTAAGTTCTGCTTAAAAAAAGAAAAGAAAAAGAAAAATGATAAAACACGATTTTTCCCTTGTTTAACAGTCAACTAACTTTTCTTTGTATTTGCTATTCAAATTTGCGAATGATCATACTGTTTTTTATTGTGTAACTTTGAAACATTGTTGATAGATTTTACAAGGAAACATTTACATATCAAATCAATAATAAAATCGATTTTGTCAAAAACTGAGTGGTTTTAATGATTAACTTCAGTGTATCTATGTACGTTAACTGCTAACAGCCACAGTGAAGATACAAATATCTATAAAGTATCATAGTCTTAAACTATCGCCTTCACTTCTTTACGTGTTGAATTCTTTTTTATTTTTCTAATATTTTCCTGCTTCCCATGAGTTTGTTTCATTTCATTTACAATGAATGTTAATATAATTTAGATGTATTTATTTTTACGAACCTGGACGATACGTTAACCAAAGGTAACTTATATTTTATACCTGGAACATTGTACAAAAGACACACAAGTGAAAAGTCCGGATAAGAATACAGTTGCGCTACCTGACGAATTTTAGTGTGTTTTACGTCTGTTTCGTTATTATAGAAATCGTCAGTGATGTCCACCATCTAAGACTTGTCCTTAATGTAACATCATACAGCTGTTTCGTCCCTGCAGGATTCGTGAGTGATGTTACATTATACAACTATTTCTTCCTTCTAGAATTCGTCAGTGATGTAACATCTGTTTCGTCCTCCATGAATTCATCGGTGCGGCGCAGTCACATAACAAGAGAAATTTCGTAACAGCGTCAAGTACATGTGTATATTCAGTAACGTGTCACTACCTACTTGCCACTCCGGTGCATAAAACGCTGAATGGAATAACTACCAACATTCTTTATGAACGCTCTAATCTATACTGACAGAGTTGTTACCGCACAGTGAACAAACATATGCCATGTGCAATATGATGTGCATAAAAAAACTAATTTATCAATACAGGACTCCAGGTCAATATTTGTAACATAAATATTTTACTTGGACATTCGTGTAAAGCATAAAGACAAGCCATGCCCAATATAAAATGGTTGATATAACCATTTAACCTTTTTCACTTATCTTCTCAGTGCAATAATGAAATCGTACATAATAGTTTTTTAATGTTCTTTCATTCTATCTTAATTCTTAAATGTTTTTGAGCACACGGTCAAATAATAATTCCCACTTTAGGTGATAAAGAAAAACCGGAAGAGAAAAACCAACATATAATTGATAAATCCACTAACTATTCGACAAACATTTTACCTGTCTCCGGTGAGACTCGAACTCATGTCCGAGGGAAAATCGCACATACTTTCATCGATCACGGCAACTGATGGTGACGGAAATCTAAAAATACATAAACTGGTTCCTTATTTTTACATTTCAAACTGTGATCTTTTTCGGCGATGATTGCAACAGGAATAGATTTTTACCAAGCTACATGATAAACGTCATAATTATTAAGTATATGAATTTTCAAATATCTTCGTCCATCATAATGACCTCTTTTACAAGTAGTCAATATCTCTATATAATGTGTTGTTGTCTGATGCCTGTTAGTATCATTGTTGTTTATTATGTACCTGTTGGTAAGCTGAGTTACTGGGAATTACGGAGGTTCGAATCAATGACACACACTCTCACCTTTCCACTCTATTTAATGCAACTTTTCGGTATTTTGTCCGCCTTTTGGTTATAGTTTTTTAGAACTCAAGTTTGAATTTGATATTCGGTTGACAAGTCTGTATTCTCCTGGTCCTTGTAACACACCTACAATTAGATAATAGTTAGGGATGTAATTAGGATATATACTTTTATATCAGGTACTAATGGTGATCTTAAGTCAGACTCTCGTCAGTGACATGATCTTAAGTCGGACTCTCGTGAGTGACGTGACCTTAATTCGGACTCTCGTCTGTGATGTGACCTTAAGTCAGACTCTCGTCAGTGATGTAATCTTCAGTCGGACTCTCGTCAGTGACGTGATCTTAATTCGGACTCTCGTCAGTGACGTGATCTTAAGGCGGAATCTCGTCAGTGATGTTATTACGATATGTTTCCCCTATATCAGATGATAATGGTGATCTTGAGTCTAACTCTCGTCAGTGACGTGATCTTAAGTCGGACTCTCATCAGTGATGTAATCTTGAGTCGGACTCTCGTCAGTGACGTGATCTTAAGTCGAACTCTCGTCAGTGACGTGATCTTAAGTCGGACTCTCGTCAGTGACGTGATCTTAAGTCGGACTCTCGTCAGTGACGTGATCTTAAGTCGGACTCTCGTCACTGACGTTATCTTAAGTCGGACTCTCGTCAGGACTCTCGTCAGTGATGTGATTTTAAGTCGGACTCTCGTCAGTGATGTTACTACAATATACACTACTCTACCAGCACATGATGAATTTACTTTTTCAAATTGCCATATATAACTATTTGTTTAGGTAACTCCAAAGTAAAAGTTGATGTAAATGTTTTGAAAAAATAAGATTGTACAAATTATGTACCAGTTGATTGAGATAGTGAGATATTGAGAGATGTACTGACCCAAAATTAAACAGTTTCGTATTTCTGATACTACAACATAGGGGTAACATTTAACTTAAGAATCATTGTGTGTTAAACATAGCTGAGCGCTAGTATTATAAATACACATGTTCCTAGACATAAATATCTCATATTATAAATATAAAAACCTGCTGCTAATGTTATCAGGATTAATTTCAACAAGAGGATGTACTGAGTAAATTACATTACAATTAATGAAGAACAAATTAACTATTTTAATTAGTCTAATGCACATTAAACCAGATGAATAGGCTTGACCACGTGACCGCTTTTTAGTAGTCCGTAATGGACAGAATTAAAACTATGTATGTTGGAATAATCATTGTGATGAAATAATATTTTAAAATTCTTTGATTATTAATTAACGCTGAAATTAATTGATGCTGTTAATAACATACTGTGATTATATTAAACCAGAATCGTGACAAGATTGTCAGCGTATAAAGGTACCCACCTGTGATTACAATGGACCATAAACTACGACCCAAAATTAATGACACGGTTGATGAATTATTCAACAGTGTCGCGTTTTGGTTTGAAATCAATTTTCCTCATTGCCAAACAAATATATAAACAAATAACACCCCCACTTGTTTACTATATACAACAAAACATCACGATATTTTGAATGAAATATGTTATTTTTCATTCCATACTTTATTTTGTTATTTCACAAATTTCGGTGTAAGTGTGTCTGTAAATTGCATTACATAATTTGTGCATATACTGCTATATCGTGGCCCTCATATGTCAAATTTTGTCGTCAGCGTTATATTGTCTGCGAACTTTTGACACTATTTGGCATATGCATACTACGTGTTTAAATTAAGGCGTCCTATCTACGGCCTGGACTGGCGAAATTATATATGAAAATCGTGTAACGTTGTACATTTTGAAGAATGGCTATCTTGCTATGTACTTTTCTATGGACAATTGGTAAGTGACATACATTTCTGATTTGTTGATATCTCTTAAACCAATTAACTAGATATAATGCATTTTGATAACATTCACCAACCTACAGCAACATAGATACATTCTATTAACAGATATTGTATAATTCTGAAAAAAATATGTATTGGTATGATAAACGGGTTTTAATGATTATTTTTGTATTTAATTCAGTTTTAACATGACACCCTGTCTATCAGTACCCTTTGTTAACTTTTACAAATTTTGAATCACTGTCATACTGGCAAATCCAGAAACATATCCAAATATATTGCTTCATTTTTAACTCGACTCTCATTAAAGATACAGAACTTCTGTTTCTGGTTAGACTTAAAAAGTGGTGGACGGAAAAAATATGAATTTAACAAAAAAAAAAAAAAAAAACTTTATCGCTTCACAACTCGCTATCTGTAGAGACAGGTTAAACTGTTATTTGTTTTTAAGCCAACAGTTTGGACTAGCCACGAGTTAACTCTAGACAAAATGGAGACTGTTTGACAGAACTTAGATATAGTAACGTTTTCATGTATTGCTTTATTCAAGCTTAGAGATGTGTTTTTCTTCGGGTTTCCATGCCGTTTCCACACAACATAATTTGTTTATATGTTCAAGCTTAATCAAAGATACATTTATTCTTCAGGATTCCATGCCGTTTCCACACAATATAATTTGTATATCAGACACAGACAGCAGCTTCCCCCTCTGGCACCTTTGGTTTCCATGTCACGGAACGATCTATCAAACTATAAGCATCGTACCCCTTCAGTAAACATCCCAGGACCTAAAGACACCGGACCTAAAAACTCAGGTCCAGCCGACAAAAACACCTTTCCTGGATCTGGAGGCGTCGTTCCTGCGAGTACAGATGAACTTATCAGGTCCATAGGTGCAATATTAGGATTTAGGAATCCAGCAAAAGGACCGATGAATTTGAAGCCAGCAAAACATCCATCGATCCCGAAGGACCCAGTGAATGAACCGACAAAACCTACCACAAAGATCCCGGAAACAACAACAATGCTTTATGGTTGTCCGGAATATAACTCCACTTATCGGAGAGACAGACTTGTGATTTTTTATCAAGACGACAAATGTGAAATGTAAGGAATTTAATCTAGATCTAATTTATTCATCAATTCAACATAAAAAAGGTGTTGGTTTTTAGCTCGCGTGGTCCAAAGGAAGAGGAAAGTTTATGCCATACCGCAACGACCGTGGTCGATATAAACGTTATATAATCGAATATTTTATCAAAATTAATTTTGCCCAAATTTGGTCTGAAGCAATCTTGGCTGAAAGAGAATAAACTTTGTATAAATGGTGGTTCTTGACCACCTAGAATTGGAGGGGCGGGACCCTAGATATAAATAGAGCAAATTCTTTAAAACTCTTCTTCTCCCGCTTGTATGATAGGATTTTGCCCAAATTATGGCCTGAAATGATCTTGAGTGAAAGAGAATTACTTTTGTATTAACTTTGGATCTTGAAGCCCTTGAGGCGGGCGGGACAGGGCCTTATAGGCGAAGATCAATACGGGGAATAGATACAAGATTTTTAGATACTTTTTTCTTCGGTTAAAGTTAATTGAGTTTCAGCCAAATAAATCTCGCGAACAATAAAGGCCCAATGAGCCTCTTGTCTTTGTGTCGCAGTCAGTTAAAGTACGAAGTGGGATGTTTTAAAATGATTTATTAGTATGAGGTATACTGTGTTACGTACACACCGACAAGACAATGATTATTATCATCGCTGGTCTGAAATTAAATCACAAAAGTCAACATATATAAACAATAAAGCAGTGATATTTAACACCACGAAACATAACTGTTATGTATATATCAATTAGATAGTTTTAAAAAGATATAAAAAATTGTCATAAAAATCCCCGTTATCTGTTTTAGTGTCATGTCTTTACACACATTTGTGTTGATATTGTGTATAACTTAACCGTCTAAGAATTCCTATTTCAGGGAGCTCCGCCTGAAAAGACACAGAAAGACCAGGTAACTTATAATTCATGTAAACGTTTGTATCACATGTGTATATAGTGTGTATTAATTGGGTTAGCTTTTGCTGTCTGTTATAATGGCTTTGGTTACACAAAATTTATCAGAACTTTTAAATAGAATTGGTGATTCTCAACATGATATATATTCTTAAACAATGGTTATGTAACGCGTTTTTCCATTGGTTAATTTTCATGATCTAATCTCCAATTTACTCGTGACTTCGGACACTAGCAATCATCTTTCTTGTTTCGACATCGACATTGGAGAAATCTATTATATTGACATGCTAAAATGTGTCATCGGAATGTGAAATGGAGCGTACGATAATGATAGTCTTTGTGAAATATTTCGTTTTAACAGGTACTCCTCTTCAATCCATTCACTATTGTTTTTTTAGTATCGATATAATTGGTAGTTTACTTATTTTTTATCAACCTGTGGTATTTTTTTCAGTATTGAAAATATAAGAAAAATATATGATATGTTGATGGTGTGATGATAGTCGGCTTTCAGACTTAACATATATTACATTGATATAATAATCAATTAGATATTGATAACAATAATGAACTACCTCGCAGGAAGTTTTTTTTTTCATTGAATGTTGTTTATCACTAAGATTTATCTTATAGATGTACTCTATTTAGAACTTGTAGCTTTCACGTAGTACATTTTGACGTCACACGTGCAAGTATATTTTGACGTCACACGTGTAAGTACATTTTGACGTCACACGTGTAAGTACATTTTGACGTCACACGTGTAAGTACATTTTGACGTCACACGTGTAAGTACATTTTGACGTCACACGTGTAAGTACATTTTGACGTCACACGTGTAAGTACATTTTGACGTCACACGTGTAAGTACATTTTGACGTCACACGTGTAAGTATATTTTGACGTCACACGTGTAAGTACATTTTGACGTCACACGTGTAAGTACATTTTGACGTCACACGTGTAAGTACATTTTGACGTCACACGTGTAAGTACATTTTGACGTCACACGTGTAAGTACATTTTGACGTCACACGTGTAAGTACATTTTGACGTCACACGTGTAAGTACATTTTGACGTCACACGTGTAAGTATATTTTGACGTCACACGTGTAAGTACATTTTGACGTCACACGTGTAAGTACATTTTGACGTCACACGTGTAAGTACATTTTGACGTCACACGTGTAAGTATATTTTGACGTCACACGTGTAATAATGGCTGTTAATAAAGCAGGTGTTTCATTGGTTTAACGCTATTATAACTAATGTATGTTTTATTTACATTAGCTCAGAATATATGTCAATACGGTACAAGAAGGTACGAAGCCGAACGAGCAAGCAAAACCCAAATACACCGGACCAAATAGTGTGTGAGAAATTCCCGCATACAGAGGAAAGGGGGATAACTTTCATCACTACTCGTCCACAGCAGTGTAAACTGTAAGTAGCTGTTGTAGTCTCTACGTATACTTAGGAACTTCAACATGATTTTTAATGGGTGTCATTACTAGTTATCTGTAACATACTATAATTTACAATGATGAAATGTAGACATTTTGTTAATATAAATAGTGCGAATTACACGTACTTCCAATATATCCATGCATGATATAAACAGAGATTAATGAATTACAGTGAGACAGGAATAACCTTGATGAAGCCTTACATTATCTTCTTCTCAAGATCCAGATGTAGTAAACCCAAACACACTTCAATAACATAATGACCAAAATTAAACCAAGACTGTGTGTTCAATGATCCTGTTATGTCACTTCTCTATGAATAACATTGATGAAATTCATTTTTGGAACAAATTTGTTTAATTTCCATCGGATGTAATTTAAGCTTTGCAGATATGCGATTTCAATATAATTTATTTACTTTCCACCCGATATAATTCAAACTTTGCCAGATCTTATATGGGATTTCAATATAATTTATTTACTTTCCACCCGATATAATTCAAACTTTGCCAGATCTTATATGGGATTTCAATATAATTTATTTACTTTCCACCCGATATAATTCAAGCTTTGTCAGATCTTATATGCGATTTCAATATAATTTATTTACTTTCCACCCGATATAATTCAAGCTTTGTCAGATCTTATATGCGATTTCAATAAGAAAATAGACTACAGAAAGCTTTTTTTTTATCTCAGTTATGTTTAACGCATGTGTAACGCGTCGTAAATTGATTACCCCTTGTCAGTGATGTTACATCATACAGCTGTTTCGTCATGTAAGGACTTGTCAGTGATGTTACATCATACAGCTGTTTCGTCATGTAAGGACTTGTCAGTGATGTTACATCATACAGCTGTTTCGTCATGTAAGGACTTGTCAGTGATGTTACATCATACAACTGTTTCGTCCTTCTAGGACTTGTCAGTGATGTTACAACATACAGCTGTTTCGTCATGTAAGGACCTGTCAGTGATGTTACATCATACAACTGTTTCGTCCTTCTAGGACTTGTCAGTGATGTTACATCATACAGCTGTTTCGTCATGTAAGGACTTGTCAGTGATGTTACATCATACAGCTGTTTCGTCATGTAAGGACTTGTCAATGATGTTACATCATACAACTGTTTCGTCCTTCTAGGACTTGTCAGTGATGTTACAACATACAGCTGTTTCGTCATGTAAGGACTTGTCAGTGATGTTACATCATACAACTGTTTCGTCCTTCTAGGACTTGTCAGTGATGTTACATCATACAACTGTTTCGTCCTTCTAGGACTTGTCAGTGATGTTACATCATACAACTGTTTCGTCATGTAAGGACTTGTCAGTGATGTTACATCATACAACTGTTTCGTCCTTCTAGGACTTGTCAGTGATGTTACATCATACAGCTGTTTCGTCATGTAAGGACTTGTCAGTGATGTTACATCATACAGCTGTTTCGTCATGTAAGGACTTGTCAGTGATGTTACATTATACAGCTGTTTCGTCATGTAAGGACTTGTCAGTGATGTTACATCATACAGCTGTTTCGTCATGTAAGGACTTGTCAGTGATGTTACATCATACAGCTGTTTCGTCATGTAAGGACTTGTCAATGATGTTACATCATACAGCTGTTTCGTCATGTAAGGACTTGTCAGTGATGTTACATCATACAACTGTTTCGTCCTTCTAGGACTTGTCAGTGATGTTACAACATACAGCTGTTTCGTCATGTAAGGACTTGTCAGTGATGTTACATCATACAACTGTTTCGTCCTTCTAGGACTTGTCAGTGATGTTACATCATACAACTGTTTCGTCCTTCTAGGACTTGTCAGTGATGTTACATCATACAACTGTTTCGTCCTTCTAGGACTTGTCAGTGATGTTACATCATACAGCTGTTTCGTCATGTAAGGACTTGTCAGTGATGTTACATCATACAGCTGTTTCGTCATGTAAGGACTTGTCAGTGATGTTACATTATACAACTGTTTCGTCCTTCTAGGACTTGTCAGTGATGTTACATCATACAGCTGTTTCGTCATGTAAGGACTTGTCAGTGATGTTACATCATACAACTGTTTCGTCCTTCTAGGATTTGTCAGTGATGTTACATCATACAGCTGTTTCGTCATGTAAGGACTTGTCAGTGATGTTACATCATACAGCTGTTTCGTCATGTAAGGACTTGTCAGTGATGTTACATTATACAGCTGTTTCGTCATTGTAAGGACTTGTCAGTGATGTTACATCATACAGCTGTTTCGTCATGTAAGGACTTGTCAGTGATGTTACATCATACAGCTGTTTCGTCATGTAAGGACTTGTCAATGATGTTACATCATACAACTGTTTCGTCCTTCTAGGACTTGTCAGTGATGTTACAACATACAGCTGTTTCGTCATGTAAGGACTTGTCAGTGATGTTACATCATACAACTGTTTCGTCCTTCTAGGACTTGTCAGTGATGTTACATCATACAACTGTTTCGTCCTTCTAGGACTTGTCAGTGATGTTACATCATACAACTGTTTCGTCCTTCTAGGACTTGTCAGTGATGTTACATCATACAGCTGTTTCGTCATGTAAGGACTTGTCAGTGATGTTACATCATACAGCTGTTTCGTCATGTAAGGACTTGTCAGTGATGTTACATTATACAACTGTTTCGTCCTTCTAGGACTTGTCAGTGATGTTACATCATACAGCTGTTTCGTCATGTAAGGACTTGTCAGTGATGTTACATCATACAGCTGTTTCGTCATGTAAGGACTTGTCAGTGATGTTACATTATACAGCTGTTTCGTCATGTAAGGACTTGTCAGTGATGTTACATCATACAGCTGTTTCGTCATGTAAGGACTTGTCAGTGATGTTACATCATACAGCTGTTTCGTCATGTAAGGACTTGTCAATGATGTTACATCATACAACTGTTTCGTCCTTCTAGGACTTGTCAGTGATGTTACAACATACAGCTGTTTCGTCATGTAAGGACTTGTCAGTGATGTTACATCATACAACTGTTTCGTCCTTCTAGGACTTGTCAGTGATGTTACATCATACAACTGTTTCGTCCTTCTAGGACTTGTCAGTGATGTTACATCATACAACTGTTTCGTCCTTCTAGGACTTGTCAGTGATGTTACATCATACAGCTGTTTCGTCATGTAAGGACTTGTCAGTGATGTTACATCATACAGCTGTTTCGTCATGTAAGGACTTGTCAGTGATGTTACATTATACAACTGTTTCGTCCTTCTAGGACTTGTCAGTGATGTTACATCATACAGCTGTTTCGTCATGTAAGGACTTGTCAGTGATGTTACATCATACAACTGTTTCGTCCTTCTAGGATTTGTCAGTGATGTTACATCATACAGCTGTTTCGTCATGTAAGGACTTGTCAGTGATGTTACATCATACAGCTGTTTCGTCATGTAAGGACTTGTCAGTGATGTTACATTATACAGCTGTTTCGTCATGTAAGGACTTGTCAGTGATGTTACATCATACAGCTGTTTCGTCATGTAAGGACTTGTCAGTGATGTTACATCATACAGCTGTTTCGTCATGTAAGGACTTGTCAATGATGTTACATCATACAACTGTTTCGTCCTTCTAGGACTTGTCAGTGATGTTACAACATACAGCTGTTTCGTCATGTAAGGACTTGTCAGTGATGTTACATCATACAACTGTTTCGTCCTTCTAGGACTTGTCAGTGATGTTACATCATACAACTGTTTCGTCCTTCTAGGACTTGTCAGTGATGTTACATCATACAACTGTTTCGTCCTTCTAGGACTTGTCAGTGATGTTACATCATACAGCTGTTTCGTCATGTAAGGACTTGTCAGTGATGTTACATCATACAGCTGTTTCGTCATGTAAGGACTTGTCAGTGATGTTACATTATACAACTGTTTCGTCCTTCTAGGACTTGTCAGTGATGTTACATCATACAGCTGTTTCGTCATGTAAGGACTTGTCAGTGATGTTACATCATACAGCTGTTTCGTCATGTAAGGACTTGTCAGTGATGTTACATTATACAGCTGTTTCGTCATGTAAGGACTTGTCAGTGATGTTACATCATACAGCTGTTTCGTCATGTAAGGACTTGTCAGTGATGTTACGTCAGATAGCTGTTTCGTCATGTAAGGACTTGTCAGTGATGTTACGTCAGATAGCTGTTTCGTCCTTCTAGGAATTGACAGTGATGTTAAGAATTAGAATTTTACAGCCATGGCGACTGAGCGGAAGCAAAAGTGATCGAAAAAAAAAATCAAAATATAGACAAGGATGTGCAGTACTTCAAGAAATCATGAAATTTCCTTATTTTCATAAATCTGATAATTTATTAATCTTGTTGTGTGAGATTCGATAATAAATCAACAGAGTTATCGGCCCAAAGGCATGTACGCTAGGGTGGTAAACAATGTAACGAACTATCAAGACTATTATAAAAATGTTTGTGACTGCCACAGGTGTTGTCATTGTAACAATGGTGAGTGCTAAAGTTCACAGTAAGATTGATAATCTGGTTTAACTAGATTTGTACATGTTAATGAAAAGTATGGACAGTGCAAGTGGTGTGAGTAGACTAGTTTTGTAAAGTTGTGTATGTTTCCTTGTCAATCAAATGTTTTATCAAAGAAAAATAAAAGATTATAACCATTATATACAATACATCGAAGATGCTAAGATCCATACAATCAGTAGGCGGCAGTTATCACCACGTGAATGTCACTCCACGTCCAACATTATTGTACACAAATCTGTTGATTTTTTAATGATGTTAATACGGGTATTTTTCTGTATTTCAGAGAAATTACAGTGGAACTAGCAGCGATGCCTACAACAAAAACCAGTAGAAAGAACAAAAGAGGGAAAAGGTAACGTTAATATTCCGTATTTTTTCCTACAAGTTTACACACGACTCACACAATATACTCATTGATGTTTCTTGTCTTTGTATTTTGTGTTTTTGTTGGTTCTGATTGTTTTTTTTATTTGTTTTGTTGTGTTTGTTTGTTTTTTAAAACTTTGTTTGGGTTTTTTAAAGAAAGAGAGAATGGTGTGTGTTTGTGTGTGTGTGGTGGGGGATGGGGGGTTATTGACCATATCAACAATGATATGAAAATTATATCATTCATAGATATTACAGAAAACTTAATACCTGTGTCAAATACTATATCCTATTTTTGTTTTTTAATCCGTAAATTTCTGATTTCGTTGGTCGTTCCATGTCAAATTAAAATATTTTAAGAAACATATTACTTGATCTGCTGATATTTTTATTTATTTTATTATTATTATTATTAATTCTGGGTTATGTTTTGCTTTACAGGTTACTAAGACGACCCGTATATACTGCTATCACATTGTAAGGGAGATAATTCCGTTTTAACCTGGTATTTTAAGAGTTGTCTCCCGTTACAAGTGTGTCACGTTAGACCATACTTTGTGTATGGATGTAGATGACTGTATCACATACCCATTATTTTAATGTGAATATATAAGATAGTTTCTGTGAAACGTGGGTTTTCCCTGGATACTCTAGTTTCCTAACACATTAATATACCTCGGACACTTTCTTCCGGATCACCAAGGGTGGTTAATATAAGCTTGTTTCGCAATTGATAATGAATAAAGTTTATATTTTGTGAACCAGACGAAAACAAAATTACGTTGGGATTTCTTAGATTATCATTAGCTTACCATATGGGTCTTAATAGATTACGGATAGTTCTTTACGCATAGTTTTGTCCCGGGAGACGATTTTTTGATAAAGTGGTATCTGACACTAGATATTGACTAATCATATCTTTAGGTATTCACAAACAACCCTTTAGACATTTTGAAATTGTTTTATATTACTAGAGGACCAATTGGGACGTCATGCAAATGTAACACGCAGATATATTTGTTTACTGTACTGAAGAACTACAGTTAGTATTTTGCAGTTGTAAAATGACAAGATTTGAAATAAATCCGTAACAAAGTCTTCGTTAGATTTGTCCTCTTTTATCTAAAGCGAGCAACAAAAAATAGAGGGATGAAACACAGCTGTATTACTGAGTTTTCCTAAAGACTTCGATGGCAACTGTCCATCTTGATCATTCTAGTGACAGACGCTAGGTGGCGAAACTAAGTCAAGGAAGTGACGCAATCACACAGGGTCATTATCCCCTCGATCTTTCCGGTCATACTCTCTTTTACAGACATCATTCCTGTGACCTTCCTAGCGTGCTCTGATACGAACAATGCGTTTGATGTACTCATTATTTTCTCTGAGTCTCTTCGGTGTCCCTACATTTGACATTGTAGTATCAAAGGATTTACCACGTAAGGTTAACAGTTATTTCATTTCTAGAAAATTACTAACGTTTCATTAAAACGGAAATTTTTGCTGCAGAACATAAATTTTCGGGGTATAGAAAAGATAAATAAAGTCGTAGACATTTAATTGCTTGGACATCTATATATATATATATATATATATATATATATATACATGTATATAAATCTTTCCATATAAGTTTTAACAGTTCCAGGACATAAAAATGAGTGGCTTAAGATTTCCATGGAACTCAACGCAAATAATTCCTCCACGAAAAGTATCGATTTCACAGCAATATGAGCAGATCCCTGACAATCGTAATTGATTGAATTCGCTACAAGAAGATCAACTTCTTTGATCATACATAGATCAGGTTGCCATTTCGTTAGAAAATTATCAAATAATTTAAGCTTGTTTAAATTGTATTTTCTTTATACACTTAAGTTTTAAATTTTTCCAAATTTTATTTTAACATGTCTTGTAATTTCGTTATACACTTAAGTTATAAACTTTTCCCATCTTGCACTGGTATATTTTCAATTTAGATTTTTGGACTATTTAATCATATTATCGGCTTGTTTTTTCCAGTACAGTACGCACGGTCTTCAGGTTTCCACTAAAATCTTACAAGCACCTGCTAGTAAACGAGATCTTGCCGTAGGGAGAATATTTAGCTTTGACATTGCTCCCTCTTGTTAGCAAAAATATTAGAACGAGATGTGTAATAAAAAATAATTGTCTTACACAATATTTCATGTAAACATGTGACCTTGATCAACATCATCAGAAATTGTTTTATCATCAAGGAAATCGTTTTGCCCACGGCTGGATTTGCCTCGCCAAAAAGTACGATGTCTTAGTCAATCACTGTCTGACGAGTGATCACGTGTTTGCTGGACTCGTGACAAACTCGGTAACAGGAAATGACATACGATTTGCATTCGATTAAAAAACATATTTTCATGATGACAGTAAATTCAAAGTAATAATAAATTTGGAGTAAAATTGACATTTCATTAAAGAAACTAGATAAAAAACAATAGTAACAATTTCAAAAAATGTTATTTCTAAGAAAACAATTTATCACCAGCCATGAGCAACATATACATATCACGTGCTACAGGCCCTTACCGACTATAGGCATTTGGGGTTTGGGGGTGCTTATGGCTGACAACCTGGTAAGATATGGTTCCTGGATAGTTTTAATAACACCCGTCGACGACGTTGATACTCGCCTCCTACGATGTATAATCAAATATCCTTGATTCTAAAAACTTACCTCAAACTGCTTGGTGAGGTTTCTATGAAAGCGTATTCCGGTCACGTTGTGTTTTATTTGAACTCAAAATTTCGAGATAGTAACTCAAAATCTCTACATAGTGATCCGAAATTTTGAATTAGTAATCCGAAATTTTGAGTTAGTAAGTCGAAATTTCGAGTTGCTATCTAGAAATTTCGGGTTCGACTTACTAACTCAAAATATCGGATTACTAACTCGAAATTTCGAGTTGCTATCACTAAATTTCGACTTGTTATCTCAAAATTTCGCGTTGCTATCTCGAATTTCGGGTTAATATCTCAAAATTTCGGATTACTATCTCGAAATTTCGAGTTACTAACTCAAAATTTCGGTTACTTACACATACACCTACGTGTGATATATGGGATAGGGGGCGCTGTAAACAGCTGTCAACGCCTACGTGTTTATGTGTATACTATGTAACATGTTTCCATATATACATGTAGATGTGTAAATCTGTTGATTACATCACAGAAAGCAGTTAGCGTTTATAGTATCGGGTAAGGAAAGTTAACATAATGCAGGTTCCTCTGTTTATTTACCTCTAAGTACATACAAATGGATATTTTAATATTGATAAGTTAAAGTGCGTACTAGAATATTAAGTAGACAAGACAAATGAAAAAATGTGTGTGTGTGTGTGTGTGTGTGCGTGTGTGCGTGCGTGTATGCGTGTGTGCGTGTGTGTGTGTGTGTGTGCGTGTGTGTGTGTGTGCGTGTGTGCGTGTTTGGGGGTGGGGGGGGGTATAAAAATCGCACAAAAAGTTCTACTAAGGTACACGGTTCAACCTACACACATGGATGTCTACTACATACATATATTTACATTTCCTGAATGTATGCCATATTTTGCCATACCAACAAAATTGATGTTTGCACTTGGTGTAAAACATTCATGAGGGGTGAAATCTTGTGTAAATTTCTGACAGGATTTAATTATATTTATCTATGGAAAAGACACAAGGGGCAGATAAAATCAGTTTATCAGTGCTATATATAGCGATTCTTATATCATAAACCACGACAGATGTAGTAATATATAAGTGCCATTTAATTTACTTTTAATTAAATCAATTATATCTAAATGATTGTCTAGTGCTGTTAATGTTGACCCCAGAATGTATTTGTTTATTGTTAATTGTCCTGTAAAACACGGACATAAGTTTACTGTGTTAAAAGTAAGATTGTACAGGACAACAATACACCTGTCCCGCGGTATACAGAGATATGAAACGCAGTTGTGCTGAATGTCCTATGTAACATAAGCTGTAAGAAGCCAGACGTATTTCTGATGTAATTACTAGCTTTGTACAAACACTGGTCATGTTTTTTAATGGGACAGCAGATCATGTTTCAATTAGAAACTTGCTTAAGCAAATTTCAATCGAAAATCACTGTTGACGGGCAATAGATATTGAGCTTGGAACAAAATTTGTCCCAGTTTTGGGAACAAGAAATTCGATATAAAATATGTGTCTGATTTCAAATTTACATAGATTTAAACTACGTAATCGTCGATGTGATGTTATTATAAATCTTCATCTACACATCACTTCAAATATGACACGTGACGCTGTTAAAATTGCTCCCATCTGTAAACTTTCTAAAGGAAGATTCCAAGACGAAATGGACATGCGGACTATTGTTTCTTACATGACAATAGCGACGGAAACAAACAAATAGAACGATCGCTTATGTAAATGCTAATACACTTGATGATAGGGCGATAAGTATGACATATATGGGCCGCTTGTGCACATGTTAATGTTCTGCGATGTGACAGTTGACAGAGGGGACATAGATAAAAAGTTATGCTTTCGGCCAAGGAAACGACTCATGAAGCAATACACAGATCTTGCTCTATCATCGTTAAGCCATCGCGGGGAGAGGATAGCGCCGACAATTTTGGTGACTTTTACTCAGTTTTTCTAGAAAAAGTGTTCCAAGCTTTTCTTGGATTATTTGAGACTGATGATGGATTCGTACACAAGAATCGTTTTATTACTTATTTTAGGTAAGTATTTTTTATACCAAACAGTATCTTATTTAATAATAATGAAAATAAATACAAAACAAACGTTACGTTTGAATAACGGGATTATAGCATACATTGTTTAAATATTGTTTTGAAATACCGAATTTATCTATATGGTATTGAATTTAGAACAACTACATCAGGGAATGAGTTTTTGTCCGATAACTAATTCTACATTTGATAGTTTATTTGTCCGTCTACTAACAACATATACAAGCTACACTTCCATTATAAATGCATGACATTTTCCTGTATCACTTTAGAGAAATGTGTTATAGTCGCAACAGTAACGAAACAGGTGGAAACTATTAAAAATGATTACACATTACGGGGATCGATCTTATAATAAAAAACCCAGATCATGGTCAGTAGATTTTCACGTTGATTTGATTCATTTACGAAAGTGGGATGATATTTACGATTGATAATGTTTTGTATATAAATGTTACGGGAAAAATCAACATTGCTAAAAACGAAATGTATGTGTTTGACACGAACCAAAATAGTGACGCCATATCCCCGCGATGACGTCACCAACATTTATGTAAGTCTACATTTATGTAACCGGTGCAGTCCCAGGCGTAAAGGAAACAGGTTTGTGAATACAAACGCAAAATCAATTTCAATTAAGGTAAAGGAGTATAATAAATAGTTTTACAAAAAATGCAATTTTTTTCCCTCCTTGATTCATGGTAAGATAGTGAGGTCTGCTTGACGTCATTTCCGTTGAAGTCTGAC